CCTCTTATTCCTATCCGCTCTCAAGCGATACGATAGCAATCTCGCAGCAAGAGAGGGCCCTCTTTCACCCCTCGTCATGCCCTTAGCGCTCTACACCGTCATCCGGAAATGATGAGGATTTCTCGCAAATCTTTGCGATCCTTTTCAAATTTGTTACAATGATATTAGTCAAATATTTCGTTTCGTATTGAGTTTGAAACGTATTTCAATCGATAAATAAATTTTTTTTTTGTTAAATTTCAGCTATATGTATTAAGTAATTAAGGTGAAGTAATATGTGTATAAATTGGAATTTTTTAATATATAAAATAACACAACAATTTTCCATTTCAAAGCGCAGTTTAATATAAAAAAATCAATTTTATTATGATATATTTTTATGTTATTTGAGATACAGCATTTTATTTGAGTCAATTTATTTTAACAAAATAAATTTAATTATTGGGTGATCGTATTAAAATTTTTTTCTATAACACATTTGGCGTTTTAAAAAATGTCATTAATCAAGTAATAAGTGCGCAGCGCCTTGGATTGCTGTTTCTATATCATGTTCTCTCCATGTCTACCATACTAGCTCCCCTTACGCCATTTTTACGACATCTGGATGGCCGTTGCGAACGCATCATGGCTGGCCATTGTCGCCGACTGGCTTTTCTAGTCGGGTTAAAAACGGTAATCGTCATCGCGAGGGGTGCGAGGTGTCACAACGAAACGGGTGGTGCCTCGATCTGTTCTCTTCTGCCTCCGCGTGCGCACCTATGGCATCACACGCGTAGCGAGGGGAAGTCACGGCGCTACTCTCTATCGCGAGGGGTAGGAACGCTAATCAAAATGCACGGAAAAAAGGGCGGCCGCGGTCGGCATTACACGTTATTAGGGTCCCTATAATAATAATGGCCGTCGGACTTTCCGCGTCGACGTTGACTCTTATCCACCCGAGTGAGCATCACGCGCGTAACATCTGTATCATCGCTGCCATTCTGACGCCATTCGATGCGGAGTGCATCTGGTCTTTTACCCGAGGCTTCCCTCCCTTCACATGTCCTTTCGATCTCCTGCCTTTAGTAGCCGTGAAATGCCGTTTACAAGCTCGATGTTCCGTCAGAGTTTCAGGCTCGCAATTGTCATCTTTTGCCCAAGACCAACTTGAAGAATTGTGCGAGAGATTTGTAGCCGATAATTTTACTCATTTTGAAGATCAGTTTGTGTTAAAGAAAATACATAAGATAGTTAAAAAGGACAATTTTAATGTGAAAAAATAGAAGGAATAAATTTTTTGTTTGAGAAATATTTGGAAAAAGTTCCTTTAAATTTTCTTGATTTTCCAGCAACTTTCAATCGATTCTTTTACTCAGCAAGCGGACCCGAAACGTAATTAAAAAATGAACGAATACATTAACAAACGATATGTGCCGGACGAAATGTGCGGACACGTGCGTCGACTTTTCATTGTAGAATCTTGAGAGCACGATCTCTCGTCGCACGAGTCGCAAAACGTTTCTCTTCTCAAATGAAACGAGCCGCGTTAATCACGCCTCGGCGAAGCTCGAATCTAAAAGTTGGCCATTTCGCGCTTGCCACTTTGCGCTCGCCACTGTGTTCCGCTGAAGAGGACGAGGGGAGGAGGGAACGTGCCTCTCTCGGTCTCGACGGCGACAATTGCGTTGCGTGGCACGCACGAGTGGACCACGCACCGTTTACCTATGCGTTTCACCGCGTAAGTGTAGCATTGTTTCCTTCGATCATCGAGTCACGAGTCCCGTGATACATGAATCTAACTTCGCAATAGTCCCCGCCGTAATCGTGGAGGGGTGGTACAGCCGAAGCCAAGGGTCTTCTCTTGAGTGTTTTTCTTTCTTTTTTTTTATTTTTCATTTCTCGTTCGAGTGACTCTCGTGAAGTCAGGAGGGCACGCGGGTAACAGAAACTTTCGAAAAAGGAGAAAGAAAGAGAGAGAGTTTCTCGCCGTCCTTCTTCCTCCCGTCGGGGCTCGAATCGGTTTCTCCCTCCGAGATCTTTTGTTTCTCCGCTCTTGTTATTCTTACTGGCTGCGCTTTACGATCCTTTCCTACGGTCCGATCGCGCGACGATTGAAAGTAAACTACTGATACGCTCGCCACAATGTGAACTCGCAATAGCGCGTGGCATTGTCGAAGCCCGCGCACGTTTTCGCACACAATACCCGCACGTCATGGTCTTTAAAGCGTTTAGCTAAGTGCACCACCAAGTCCATTATCGAGGTTAATAAACATCCCTTACTCTCATTCGTCCATCGGCCTCCTCGAACACGCGAAGACGCAGCGCGTCGCAACGATTGCGAATGATTACCGTATTTTCGTTTTATGAAACTGGCGAGTGTTGCGTCAAACAACGCGAAACGTTTACTATTTCCTGAATTTTCAAGAGTTATCTCTGAAAAGTGAAATATAAAATAAATAGTTTAATTAAAATGATTTAACTCTTGTACTCTGCTTCAATGCACATTTTACAATTTCTGAAAACGTTGATTATTTTAATTAATCCCGACCGATTAAAGTTGTTTTGACGCGGGCTATACACGTACAAGACGACTGTTGTAAAAACCTTTCTAACAATCTTTGAAAATATCTGCAAAATATCGAATGTACACGACGACGTTGGAAGATTAAACTTTGAACGTAGTTCCGCCATCACGCTCGAACGCGTGGCAGCCCCGGTTGGTGGATAATTCGTCGAAGGAAGATGCGAATGCGAGGGGAGACAGGAGGGAACGAGAAGCTGCCTGGGCGGCGTGGATTCCCCTCCACGGCAAAATGGTCCCGCGTTTAGCTTCTGCCTTCCGAACGTTCTTTAGCGCCGAGATGAGTCTTTGGGGAGGGTTCCTTTCTCCTATCTCTCGCTCTTCCTCTCGTTCTCCCCGCCTATTCGATCATCGCGCAAGGTTGAATTAATATATTTGATGCTGTGACACTTTTAGCATCTGTGAGATTTTAAGTGTCGGTTCATTAAAAGACATAAACGGATGATGTGTTGTGTTAATCAAATATGGATTTGAAATAATAATTCATTTTTGCATCGAGCAATTAAAATAAGATGTAAATTATTAACCATCAATTAAATTTAATCTTCTGCAATTTAGAGATGTTTTTTTTTAATTAGATAAGATTATGATTATTGATAAAAATTAATCGATATTATGTAGCATGAAATTAATACAATAATTAATCTATTTAAATAATATTCGCCGATTTTTTTATCTGCTTTTTCTGTTAATCTTCAGAAAAATCTCTTTGAACTTAACATAGTCTTAAAAAATTTAATTACAGCGAGATATATAATAGTCTAATCTCTCAACATTATAAAATTGGTGTACAAATTTTTGATCGACAGTTCATCGCGTCTATGCCGTGTCCCTACATTTTCACGGCAAATCTTAAAGGCTTGACGCTCGCTCGCGTCGAGCTCCGCATCGGCGCTAAACTCGCAAGCATACCGCGTAGAAACGATGAACAGCAACGCGACTCGGCCGTGATAGTAAAGACGAGATCCTGCAACCGCGAAGGCCCGAAGTTGCTCCTCGAGTTCCGGAAGGCTGGAAGGAGGAAGGAGAGGGCGGATAAGGCGGTTTTAATTACCGCTTAAGACACCCTCGTAGCGTTAACCCCCGCGCCGTAGATACTGACGGAGGGCCGCCCCTAAAGATATCGTTTGCAGTGCACGGTTACGAAGGAGTAAGTCGGGGATGGTGGATGAGGGGGAACGTGGAAGGAGGACGGGGGCCGGAGAACTTGTATGCCAACGTCGCACTCGATTCTCTCCCAGCACGCGAGGGAGGAAATTCGAGGCAACCAACCCTGCCGAGCCGCGAGAACTTTGCCGCTACTAGCGTGGCCGTCTGCCAGCTTCCTCGAGCGAATCACGTAGGGGAAGGGAGCGAAAGGGAGGACGGGGGATGTATCCCGGGTTTTGCCGCTTATACGACGATTATTACAGACGTTTTCGTTATCCCCGAGTTCCGCGGGCGCTCGTAATCTGATATCATATATGGAAAATGCGATACGCTATCTCTCGGCGATATCTCCAATAATTTTCACGATAATTCCTGATTGCAACTCGAATTGCAAGTGAATCTTTTAACGTTCGTTATTTTTATTTTGCAGAAAAATACTAGCGTAGCGAAAAAAACTAACTATTCATATTATAAATTGAATATTATTACTACCGAGATTTTTTTAATTATTACAATATTTTTACGAAAAATAGAGACATATATCTAAATCGGAATCTGGTCGAGTCATTATTTTTCGTCGGTCTCTCTTCTCTGAATGATATTTTCAATTGATCGAAATTATTTGAAAAAGTATCGTAATATTTCACTATCACTTGTAACGTCTACATATAAAATTGTATACTCTTTTAATCTATTACCCATTACAGCGATGATATAAAATTGCATAGGACAGAATTAATTACATAGAATATAACGGAGCCAATAACAGCAACATGTCACATGTCAGATCGAGCCAGACTCCGACTCGAGCTTCTCCGAGCAGAGAGGAGGTAGTCGCGGAGTGACAGTCGCGTATCTCATGGGGGTGGCCGGCGACTGGCGTCGGGACGCCCGTCGTCTTATCGGGTACCCCCTTGCCTACAGTCTTCATCCCCGCACGTTCTACCTCCCTCTATCGTCCTACTCTCAGTCTACCCTGTATCTCCTCGCCGCCCCTCACCGTCGTCGAAGCAAACCCGGTGACGCCTCGACGCGCTCACCCAGAAACCGACGATAAGGTTCACCCGACGACGCCTGCCTATACCGCCCGTTCGTCCACATACTCGCGTCTACACGCATACGTATACACACCGAGATACGTACTCACACGCGAGCGATATGTAGCGCGCGTAGGAATTGATATAAGAAAA